ATGGTGTTCCACACGCAGTAGTACAGGTCGTAGGTCGACACGGGGCCTTTGGGGAGGGCGGATAGTACATAGCACAGGTCGGCCGTCATCTCGCCGCCCGATGCGCCCATCCGATGGCACGACGCTAGGAGCTCCGTCGCGTGCTTCGGCCCTCGATGCGCCTGCCCGTCCTGCGCTGTCTTGTAGGCCATGCTGTCCGGCATCTCGGCGGCCCCCGCGTGGCAGCAGTCCAGCACAAAGAAGACCGGTAGCTCGTCGCCGCTCATCAGCGTCGGCGCCAGGTCCCACCAGCGCCAATGGCCCTCGAAGCCGTGCGGCTCGCCGTGGCTGTGTAGGTAGATAGGGGGTTAGTGCTGCTGGGCGCTTGTGTCCGACAGTGAGGGCTGGCAACGTAGCAACGTACCTGGACAAGCTCAACACCCCGGTATACGGATTGAAGTTGCCGTGAGAATGGTGGAACACGGTCAGCACCACCTTGCAGCCGTACCGCCGCTCGTCCTCCTGCGCTAGCCGGGCCGCCACCTGGTACGCACATCGGACCTGATCGCTGACGTCGGCTCCCCGGTGCTGAGGGGTCAGCTCGGCCGTGATCGTGGTCCACTTGCGTATTTCCAGGAACGTCTTTTTCACCTCGGCTGCCTCTCGGCGGTAGTCGCGGATGTCCGAGTCGCGCCACGTCAGAATCAGCGCGTACCCGAGCGCGGGGCGTTGGAGCTTGTTTGGCTTGGCATGTAGGATGCTATTCCCCTTGTCGTCGAGTCCAAGCAGCTCGTGGTTGCTGATAAGATGTGTTCAGCCCCCTTACTCACAATTGCCCTTACTGACAATTGGAAAACATCGAGTAGAGCACTTACAGTGTGGCAGCTTCCACATCTAAGAGGAGATCCTCGGGTAGCCTCTCTTCATGGCCAAGCTTCTCGGGTTGCTTTCTTTTGACATGGCTACTTTCATGGCCACCCAGGGCGCCGCTGCTGTCCTTGTAATGATATCCCGTCTAGCACCGTTAGCCACGTTACGGGACTTGCTGGGAATGGAGAAGAAAGTACCTCGTAATGGGTTTGTGTATAATTATTATATTGTGATTCGGAATGCAACTCTAATTTGGGTTGACTAAAAACTTGTCTGTTGTTGCGGTGATGTTGGCAAACACACGGTCCCATCGATTTTTAAGTGTGTGTTGTGTATTCAATAGCTCTGACGTTGAAGTTTGCCCTTGTGAGATTGACACAAAACAAGAAGGAAAAGCGATTTGTGACAAAATGCACGGTGGATATAAAGCCCCGAATTTCTGAGACGTGGCCGGGCACTCGGCCTGAACGAGTCTCCCTGCCGGGCAGTTGAACCTATTTCTATACTTGTTCCAGTCCAACGCCAATGCGGCAAGAAATACCGCAGATGCTTTGCAGTTATTTTCAGCGCACTGCTAGCGTCGAACCAAAGGAAAGCCGGAGCCATCTTGCGCAGTTGCTAGGACCCGTCATACTAATCAACATAGGCCCTCATCCCCATACGGCAGATCCTGGGTTAAGACTTTCAGAAAGCAAGACCTGATCTGGGATTCAGTCATCCTCCCTTTATATCTGTCGAAAAGGGCGTGTACCATCTACGCAGTGGTTCGTTGCCCTGGTTGGCAAGCGTGGTGACTATACTGTGGATCGCCACAATTCTGGTGATCTCGTTCATGCACGTAGAGACGCACAAACGATGACTCTCTGGCTCAGCGCAAAGTGATAGCCGCCGTAATCTAGTGGATAGCTACCTGCATAACCTACCTAGCTTGTCACCCGCCTGCGGTAGCTCCAAACACAGACGCCGCGCGTTCTATCGCCACAGTTGCTCTTTGGGGTCCGGGCATTTGCCATTATCGTATGCGGCGCTGGTCTCCGCCAGACTCAGCAATCCCGTAGCGCATACCGAGCTGCAGGCTAACACCGGAAAAGAACCTTCCCTGATGGTTAGCTGGCGTGGCTGGTAGACTGCCTCTGGTGGTTCTTTCCTGCACCGGACAGCGCAGAGCGATGAAGATGATCGAACGATCCAGAAACAGCCACCCAGACTCTTTTCTTGGAAACCACCTACCAGAAACTTTCCAAGGCGCTATTATGGTAGCTCGACATCCACAGATCCATTGTGTGTGGGTCGCGTTCACTCTGCATCATCCAAGATGACAAAAAAGACTAGGTAGCCGGTTAGAGTCGGGCAGCATGTGCATGTACGGGAGTTCTTACCTCACAATCTCGGGTTAGGTACATCAGCAGCTGATTGCTCCGAAGGGCTCTTCTTGAGAAACACCACGCTCCACATTGTCAGAGTTTTTGGCCAATCTCGCTTTCATCAGCCATTCGAGGTGTTCGGATCGAAGGAACAAGTGCCCCAAGATGTCGAGCACAACGCCGACGGAGGTTTTATTGACTGGCCAGTTGCCGAATTCACCTTACAGCACGGAGACGACACCTCTCTGGTTCTGGTGGCCCTAGAGGCAACATTGGTCACCATGGGAGCAAATCAACCAGTACGGTAGATACGAAATGTTCCCCATAGGCCAGGGGAATCTGGTCGTGATTTCGGTCTCCTCAAGGGTCTCTCATCACGGCAAGCAACCGTCCAGTATCTCCGATCCACACCAGGAAGCAGCAGGTTGGAATTTTACCTTGGACTTCTCGACCGGCTTTTGGTTTTCGAAATCCATGACCATACTGGCTCCCATGATATATAGCACCGTACCGTTTCTCGTCATAGGCGCCGTCACCAGACTTTACTCAGGTCCTTATATTTCCTGACTACCTAATACTACCAAGAACTCCCAACCCTACTATGAGATACTATAATCTCCAGACCAAGCGCAAGATTTGTCCGTTCGACAAACTGTTCGCAGTCGCCGCAGATCGGACGACACACCATGATCATAGCCTTCTTGAGAGAGGTGGGGGGCGCCGCCGACTTGAGCCTTGAGAGTTTCTCCGTGTGATCTCTTGCCCTTTGCAACTTCTCGTATTGCTCCTCGGGAAGTTCCTCGATCGTCAACCCGTGCAAGCGTTCTTCCAAACTGGGTTCTTCCAAACTGGGTTCTTCCAAACTGGGGTTCCATTCTGTCTCATGAGGCAGGAAGACGTGCTTGTGGACGAAGAATGCAATCAACTGCTTTTCCGCGTGGCAGGCGTGATACCTTCCCGGTTCACCCTGATCGTAATCGTGGGGCTCCAGACGGTGTCCAACGATTTGGCAAAGCCGGTGAACTTTCTCCGTCCAGTCCACGCCGGCAATCTGGATATTGGCGTCGGGACGCTCGCGATGGGACCAACCGCTCATCGCGGCCATGACGGGGAAGTCTCGGCCACGGTACAGGACGCCGACCGTCTTCAACCTGTTTGGGATCTCGAAATGGGCAATGAGCGTCAGCAGACTTTCAGGACCAAATGAATTCGTAAAGACAAATCCCGCGAGCTTCTCACGGTCCCTGCTTTCCTCGTCCTCGAGCAGGCGGACAATGGCTTTGCGATCTTTATCTCTCTGGTAAGTGTTCTCGTAGAATTTCTGCTCGCGCCCGGAGAGTCTGTAGAATTCGTCGACTCTCGCCTGCCCGGAGCGTCTGTAGCGTTCGTCGGCGTTTGCCCGCCCCGGTTTTGCAAAGTCCACAGCTAACAGCCGTTGTCCATCACGCATACATTCCAACTCTTTTTTGGCTCCGTATTTGAGGAGGACTTCGACATTGTCGAGTCTACCCCACAAGGCGGCCTCTGCGAGAGGAGTTCGATCGTCGCCATTCACGATATTTGGATCGGCTCCATTTCCCAGGAGAAGTTCGACGATTTCCGGGTACATCTCGCAAGCTGCCATGTGTAAAGCGGTCTCGCCGGATACGTAAACGTCGCTGTCGTCATCGCTGCGTTCGTAATCTTTAGGATACTCAATGTGCTGAGCTTGGACGCCACGCAGAAAGATGTCCGCCTCTGCGGATGATTCGAGATATTCGCGCACGTATTCGATCTTTCCTTGAACCATAGCGCTAGCCACCCCATCAATCTTTCTGAAGTCCCAGCCCCCATCAAGACCAGGCAGGTCGACGTGGACCATCTCCGTTGCCTCTGTCCACCTGCGCAGGTTGCTCGTATTCGGCACAGAGGTGGGTAGCCGGTTGCCTTCACGCTTCAGGAAGTACTCCGTCGGATCTTCTCCGCCAGCGACGAAGAGGGCTCGCTGTTTATCGATTTCGTACACTGGTTCGTCGTCTTTCAGTGGGAATTGAATTCTGTATTCACGCAGTGTGACCTGTCCGCAGTGGGGGAGTCGCCGATGCGTTGTCGCGTAATCGCTGGAAGCTGGGAAGCCGTGACGATGGATCTCGTCGCAGATGGGGCAGCGGACGTACATCGACGAGTAGTCCCACCACACCACTTTCGCAACTTGATATTGACCAGCCATTTCAGTGGAGGCTTTAGGTTGTCGTCTCAAATTAAAAATAAAAAAAATCACTGGCAAAGAGAGTAGCGCCGACCTCAACGGCACAAAACCTTGGCGAAGCCCTGAATACAAGGTGACAGTTGAGGAGCTTCAAGTTTGGCCTGCGGGGAAAGGTGGTCAGAGAAGGCAGAATGATGCCCAACAAGTCCAGCCCCAACAAGTCCAGCCTACGAGTCCTTTGGTTGGTGAGGGTGAGGGTGACACAAAAGTGGGAAAGAAACAGTTGATTGGACTGACTGGTATGGAGGGCGAAGCGCACCTTATAAACTACTACTACCTGCTGTGCACATGCAAAAGACTAGGTACCAGTCGAGGTTAAAATAGTGTTTGATAACAAAGAATAGCTGCAGTAGTGTAAATGCCACAAAAGGGGCAGCCCAGCTTCCGCCCCGGTAAACATTCCCTCTATTTCAAGCTCCACGCCTACAGCACAGCACAGCACATTAGACAAATACCGCATAAGTCCACAGGTCTACTCTAGTTAACCCATACGATGATATAGCAAAAAGAAACAACACGTTATCAACTCCAACTGAGTCTGGACGAGCTGGGAATCGAACCCAGTACCTTTCGCATGCCTCATATTCGATACGGAACCATGCTAAGCGAACGCTCTACCAGATGAGCTACACGCCCGATTAAGATTTGATGATTTTCTCTGTTGCAAATGGCGAATTTTTGAGCGAATCCTGGTGTTCGTTCTAGAGCAGAGCCTGGTAGTTCGGGTGGTGGTGAAGGAAAATCTGAAGGTTTCAAGACTCTCCTTTTTCCGATTTAAGCCAATAGCCACTCAACTTATACGGATTGCGCTGTGGCGAGGAAACACAGGACACATTAACCCCGACACATCTCACACCATACCGAGCCAAATAAGGAGGGAGTTGGATTCTAAACCAATTCACCTTTATCTCTTTCCAGCCCTTCCGACTAGAAGCGGTGAGGCATCCGTCTCCCCCTCCGGAGACATGAATGGCCACTCAAGAGAAGGGCGTGTTGGGGTCCTGCATAAAAGTCACGTTGACCGTCTTGCAACCCGTCAAAGGGACCTCCAGCTTCGTCGACCCATCAAAGATGTACCCAAAAAAGTCCAACGACCTCTGCCGACCGTTGCCCAGTTCATCGTTGTGACCACCCCAGGCGTTGCGGTGATACAAGATATTCGCCCCCTTGTCGCAGAACTTCTGGACCACCGCGTCCGTCTCGCCGATGGGCGTCATATCATCCTCGATGGCGTGATACATGAAGATCGTCGTGTTCGGCTGGCCAAAGTTACCCAGCGTTCCCTCGCGGTCAAACATGGCGGTCAGCTCGGGGACGATGAGATCGTCCTGGCCCCCGATGAAGTACTCGAACACGTTGACGTACGAGTAGTACAGCAGCGACTGCCAGCCCGACATCAGACTCGCCCAGAAGAATTCCGTCGCGTTGTACGGCCCCGACGGGTTCAGCCGGCTGACGATGTACTTGCGCTGCTCGGGGTACTGGCTCGTGACGCCGATGATGCCCTGGATGAGGAGGCCGGCGACTTGGGTCGCGGCGAGTAGCGGGCCCGAGGTGCCGAGGTTTGGTGTTAGGCCGCCGATGGCGGCGCCTGCGATCTTTAGGTCGGGCGCGTATTTGGGGGCAAATTCGACGGCGGATTCGGTGGCGGAGGCGCCGTTGCTGTAGCCCCAGAAGCCGATGCTGGTCTTGTTGATTCCGTATTCGCTGGATGCTACCTTGATGACGGCCCGGGCCGAGTCGATCGTGATGTGGCCTGCGACGATGCTAGCGCCGTACGAGGCAAGCGGGCCCTCTTTCTTTCGTGTTAGTCTGCATTCCGACGAGAAAAGGGGTTCATCACTCACCGAAGTCCGGAACTGAAACCCACCAGCCGCGGCCGAGCGCCAGGGCAATCTCCCCATACGGCTCGCCCCATTGAAGTCCAAAGCTGGGGCTCGCATCTAGACAGGACGTATCATACGGCAGCTGATAGGACACAATAGCCTGGGTACAGTTGCTGACACCGTCGCAGTGTGACTTGTTGGGAATGAACACCGTCGTCACGGCCCACGTCTCGTTTCCCAAGCTATTCGTCGACCGAAAGAGAACCTGAAAAGTGTCCTTGACGTTGGAGATGGCAATCGGCGTCATGTTATACGCGTGCGGCCGAATCCTCAGAACATCACCGGGCGCCTTGGTTTCCCACCCGTCCGGAGCTTTATACCAGGGATCTTGCGACGGCAGTCCGAGGTATGTGCCGCCATCCTGGGCCAAGATCTCGGGCGTGACGGCCTTGAACTGCCATAGCGCCGTCACGGCGGTGATCGAGCTGGAGAGGAGCAGCGAGGCGGCGCGCATCGCGGTGTTTCAGCTGGATGTTCGACAGTGTCGTCCGCAGTGAGGCGGGTTATTCTCCGCATGCCATGGGGTTTTTGATACTATCGATCATTGACCGTTTTGACCATGTTCATCAGGAGACAGTTAAGGGGTTGAGTTTGCGTAACGTTACTAACAACGAAAAGGGTCCCGACCTATGAGAGCCATTGTTATCTGACAGTTAATGAACCTGCAACATAGATGAGCTGTCAATCCGGTATTCGAGAAGCTTGGCGGAGTTTATCTATTTTTATCCCGGTTCATATTGAGCGACCCCCACCACCCGCGACTACATGGTTACCTACCTAGGTTTACTACGTCCGTTACGGGTGTTTAAGCAGGTAAGAATATCGAGGTTATATGAAATATGCCCATGTGGTTGTATTCTCCGAGAGCAATCGGGAGTCACCTCGGATATGAGCGAGTTGGACCTTGGACGGAATGTCGTGACCCGAGAGTGCCGCCCTCTGTGATTCAAACTTGGCGCTCATGGTGTGGAATATGCGTTGCTGAGAGAGTGCCGGATGAACTGAAACAGACAACAACGACATGCAGTGAAGAATTTTCCACTCTCTCGTTTTCCTCCAGCTTCACAACGTCTGGGACATCATGAACATCGATGTCGGATTGTGAAACAACCCTCGGGACATATCCGAGTAAGAAGCCCAATTCTGCTGGTTCCGCCTCTCTGTCCCGGCTATTATCAACAGGGACCCTTATTAACCTCCAACCTACTAACCAAAAACCCCGCGTGATCCTTCGGAGCCAAACAAACAGCGAAAAGGCAGTGATCACCGTTGGATGGAAATCCATGTGCCGAGGACCGACCCCGTCCCGCCACGCCAACTGCCTTCATCAGGTTCCAGCCTTCTCCTCAACAACCCATCCTAGACAGACCCGAATACCACCCTCCGATTTGCAACGGAGTAGCTCCGCCGCATACAAGCCGACCAAAAACTTAATAACATCTTACTCTAAACCATGCTTCCCCCAGGAAAATCTCCCGAGCACGTTGCCGATCACGATCCATCGGGGAGGGTATCATTGCACCTCGGGTGTGGTTACCTACGTCGGATCCATCCGAGTGTAAGGAGTACTCCTTCCAATCTACCACCAGAGTTTTTCTACTATCTCCTATCAGAATAAGAGATATATATCCCATCTATGCATCCCGGGTATCCCTGGGAGTTTGGCAGCGGGCGGGGGCTCTAGGCTATTCTGCTTCCCGCTGTTTGTTGCTATTCTTGAGTTTTAACAGCAAACCCCCCACCCGGTTCTGGGGAATCCTACGAGCTCTAGCCTCCGTGCACACTTGCCTTAATCAATTTCGTCATATACATAACATAATCGTTGTGTGCAGCGGGGTCCTCGAGGGATTATCACTGAGGGGATCTCGGGTGCAACATGATTGGGATCAGTCGGCGATAGGCCTATTTCTCCCTCCGTGTGCCGTTGTAGAAAAGATATGCCGGACCTGACTGGGCATGAAGGGGGTCATGATGGCATGTTCATCAACGCGCAACATGTCCCCTTTTTCCTCTCGAGTACATACCTCCTATTCTACCTGTCCCTTATCTCCTTACCGAACAGGCCATCATACATAAGCATTCGCGGGACCTGAAACTCCTCCTCCGTCGGTGGCAACACCAATTGTCGATGCATTGGTAAATCGTAGACGGCCTTACCTACCCCCCTCCCAACTACTCCTGTTTTAGTTTCAAAAACAAACCACCAGACAAACAGCAACACCATGCGTCCATTATCCCTCCTCCTATCCTCCCTCGCCCTACTCCTTCCCGCCGCCCTCGCAGCAAACAATGCAGTCCCCCCGCCGCCCGGCGTAGCCTTCCTCTACAACGCAAACATAACCGTCGGCCTATCCGTAGACGTAGGCCAAATCCCAGCAGGCAACGTCAGCGTCATCCCCGTCATCGGAGGAGCCCTAATCGGGCCCAAAATCTCCGGTACTCTTCCTCTTCCTCCCTACCTCTTCAAAAACTCCCCTATCCCCTGCCCCTATATCCCAAGTATCAATATCAGATCACAGATAACTAACTCCAACCCAAAAAAGGAAAAATCCTAGCCATAGGCGCAGACTGGGGCCTCTCGACCCCGCAGGGATACTACTACTCGGACATGCGCGCCCAGATCCGGACCATGGACGGCGCCAACATCTACGTGCAGATGGCCGGCCTCATGCAGGGCAACGACGGCCTGATCTACATGCGCACCACCTTCCAGACGGGCAGCAAGGACTACTGGTGGCTCAACTACGCCTTTGCCTTTGGGACCATGAAGGCGTCCGGGACGGGGTTCGTCGTTGATATGTGGCATTTGACTGGTGGGAGTTGATTTCCTTCTCTCACTCTGAGCTGCCGCTCTATCTTATTTACCTAGGGATCTCCTCCACAATTGGGGGCGAGGAACAGGAGATAAAGGGTTGCCTGCCTGCCTTCCTGCCAGGTGGGAGAGAGAGATAAGATAGATCATTGGGTCGATCTCGTTTTTTTGGCGAGCCACAAAACGTGCATGTGTGTATAGGTGGCACAGAAAGAACGAAAAGAGAAAAAATAATTGTGTGGTTCTGCCGCTCACGCGCGTTTGTTGGTAGCGAGGGAGCATCAGAGATTTGGCTTGGGACCTCGGTGGGAGTGTGATCTGAGAGTCTGTGCCCATCGACCAACCCGCGTGGCAAGCGGCGAAGAAAAAAAAACACGGTCGACACGACCACGGTTTACCAGACCATGCAGCATGCAAGGGGCTGGCCTACTTTGGCACCCAAGCCCGACGACCAAAGTATTTGTATACCAGGAACCCCGACAATTGGGAAGGTGGGTTGGACGGGGATATAATGCGACGTGGTTATCATTGATGTTTTCGAGAAACAGATTCAATAAAACCCCCAGAGAGGCTGACTCAACACCCAACGACTGGAGCGCATGCAGAAAGAGAACAACACCTGAAATTGGGGCCTGGTGCTTATTACTTATCTGGCCGCAGGTGCTGCCGCCGTGGGATTCGGCTTCACTTCCCCTTTCCCAACCATGCGGAATCACGCCGACCGGATGCACTTCCGCGGTGACCGGACTCGCATTTTAACTTTGGGATGCCTTGGCGAGGGTGATCACTGCATTCCGATGTGATTGTGACCACGGAGGATTGACCTGCGTTGAATCGTCACGACCCACGAGTAAAAATCGCGTCTCTGCCTGTTGATTATTAGAACGCGGCACAGCAGTCGACTTTGCCGGGATGCGGCAGCTGCAGGCTTGCGGCAT